GGATCCCACATATGAGGGCCAGTGACACTGCCCTCTGCGGCTAAGATGGTGAACAACAGCCCGACCTGGAGCTGGGCTGCCATGAGTCGCCAGTGACGGCGTAGGCTGCAGTGGGCTGCCGTGGGATACCGTGTGTGGCCGGCAGCCGGCGTGAGCAGCTGGCAGCCGGCGTGGGCTGCCGTGAGTCGACATGAGTGGCTGTCCGGGGGCCGGCGACTGGTCTGCCTCACCCGGGAAGAGCATAATGATGGTGCCAACATGGGCCAGTGGAGCGACATCCGCCACAACTAGACTGAAGAACAAAAGGACAGCAACTTGTCTGTTCCCCTTCCCCGATTCCCCAGTGCTGTTCCCCTCCTCTAATTTCCCAATAAAATCTTTTTTTAAAAAAATGAGTATATACACAGGTTTTAAAATGAATGGTTTTATTAAATAATTACAGAATAACAGGTAGAGTCAGAAAGTAAAATGTTTATATTAAAAACATTAGCCTTTTGTCTCTTTCTGTCCTCCTTTAACACATTCCTAGAGAGTCACTTTCTGCTGTTTCTTCTGGGTTTTACCTCCATTTAACCGCTGGCATAGCCTCATGTACCCATTTTGAGTCATTGACTTCCTCTTCAGGTAGATGAGGATTATAATTCCAACCCATATGATCCCTTCCATTCTCTCTGGTTAATGTGGACAGTGGTTTGAATGTTTTAAAAGGATCAAAACAATAAGCATCTGCCTTACACGAGATAGAGGTTTGTTTCTTTCTCGTATAATAGTATAAAGAACTCAAGGATGGATGGTGGTGGTTTCCAGCTACCAGGGACCCACGCTCATTCTGTCCTGTGGCTTCATTGTCTTCAAAAGTTTTTTCCGTCTTATTTTCCAAGATAGCTGCTCCAGGCTTCTTCCCCACACCCACCCACGGTCCACCGTCCAAACACAGGAAGGGGGTAGGGCAAGAGAGAGCGTGCTCTCTCCTGTAAAGGCTCAGAAATTGTGCACAGCTCCTGTACTCATCCACGCAGCTGTCCACTTCCCTCCTCCATGGGCCTTCTAACATATTTAATCTTGTTGTTAATAATCATTGGCTAGCGTTTGAGTGCTCCCTATGTCTCAGATACTGTTATAATTGCTTTCTATTCACTTACTCACTTAACCCTTAACAGTCTTTTGAGGCACATATTATTTCCTTTTACAGATAAGGAAACTGGGCGGAGGCAAATCAAGTAGCTGCCCAGGTCACACAGTGAGTCAGGAGCAAGGTCAGGGCTGCAGAGCCGCCCTTCACTCATGACACTTTTCACTAGGGATCCGTGACCCTCTAGGGCGTTCCACCCAGGCTACGCTTTCCCTCTGTACTTCAAGCTGGCAGAGGGCTGGTCAGAGGTGTCCAGCCTATGAGCCGACAGGGCCCAGTTAATTATTAGTGTGCGGGCTTGTTATCAGCCCCAGCCTAGCACTGACCTGCAGCTCCCTCGGCTTGTCCCAGGGTCAGTGGGCAGGGGACACCAGTGTGTTAGGATAAAAATACGTCCCGTGCGGGCCGGCCAAGTGGCGCGTTGCTTAAGAGCTGGCTTGGGACGCCAGCTCTGAGCAGCAGGGCCCCGGTTCAGATCTCACATGAGGACCAGTGACACTGCCCTCTACAGCTAAGATGGTGAACAACAGCTCCACCTGGAGCTGGACTGCCATGAGTCGCCGGTGACGGCGTAGGCTGCAGCCCCTGCTGCAGTGGGCTGCCATAAGCTACCGTGTGTGGCCAGCAGCCAGCGTGAGTGGCCGGCAGCAAGTGTGAGCTGCCAAGAGCTGCTGTGAGTGGCCATCCAGAGGCCGGCGACCAATCTGCCTCAGCCGGGAAGAGCACAATGATAATACCAACATGGGCCAGTGAAGCAACGTCCTCTACAACTAGACTGAAGAACAAAAGGACAGCTACTTGTCTGTTCCCCTTCTCCTGATTCCCCAGCGTGTTCCCCTCCCCCAGTCCCCCAATAAAATCTTAAAAAAAAAAAATCTCTCCTAGTCCCAACCTCTGACCAGAATGCCAGTTCTATCTATATCCCTAAAATATTTAAAAAAAAAAAATGTCCCATGCTGGCTCTCCATGATCTTTGCCTTTCTGAATTAAACACCAATTTTGTTTCTTAAGTGCACTGTGAAACCCTAACCATTTATTTTGCTTTTATTTCTTGGGCGGATGGCCCACAGTCACCACTGCAGCCATGTTCCTATGATGCTGAGAACGACAGCGACATGTGTTGCAGCTTTTGACGGTCTCTTGTTTTATTGATGCAGTGACCAGGAGGTAAACTTTGGGATGTGCACATAATGATGGACAGCAAGGACTTAGAAGCCGAAATCCACCCCTTGAAGAACGAAGACAGGAAATTGCAGGAGAATCAGGAAAACCTCGCGAAAAAAGAAGATAACTTGAGAAGCACGCCTGTGCAGTCCCGCCTCTCCCGATGCCGGACGGCAGTGTTTTTCCTCTCGCTGTTTATCTGCCTCTTGGTGGTGTTTGTGATTTCCTTCATCATCCCGTGTCCCGAGCGACCAGCGTCACAGGGGTCATGGAGGATCGATTACAACACGACAGGTGTGCTCCACCCTCCCCCCAGTGACATTCCAACCACTCTCTCTTTGGGATGGGTGGTGGGGGTGGCATGTGTGTCCCTGAATCTGGAGTTTTCTTTGACAGTGGATCAGCCTAAAGTGGCTGCCGATTCTATGTCCACGGGTGTCCTGGAATTTTAGGGGTGCCACAGCCTCAGTAAAATTGGAAGGACTGCCATGGGCGAATAGGGGCCCATTTTTCTATGTTAGAAAAGATGGGTTGAGTCAGTAAAGAAAAGCCCTTCTGGTTACTTTTCTGAGTTAAAAAATAATAATAATAATGATAATAATAAAACAGAGTAACCGGCAGAAAAGGTACAGAGAAGGCTGTCATGAAATGTGAAAAATATGCAGTCGATTTTGTTGTTTAACCTTCCTGAAGGGCTCCAGCTACCATTGTAATGAGCTTAGCTAGCGTAAAGCATGCGTTTATTTGTCTTGTAAAATTGGCAGCCTAGAATCTTGGCCTTGGTAAAAAGCAACAGAGTCGGCCTTTCTCTGGACACCCCACTTCTTTCTTAGAGCTGTCCATGCTTTTCTTGTCGTATCAAAAAAAAAATCATTACCAGGGGCGGTCAGATAGCTCAGTTGGTTAGAGCACAAGCTCTGGACAACAGGGTTGCTGGTTAGATTCCCACATGAGGGCCAGTGAGCTGTGCCTCTACAGCTAAGATTGTGAACAATGGATCGCTGGGGGGGTGAGGGTGGGGGTAGGNTTTTTTATATATATAACTATTGAAATTAAAATGTTCATTTATGTACCACCTAAATGATGTTGCATTCCACCAGTGGTATGGGAACCATTCTTTGTGAAGCCCCGTTATAGAGGATATTCCTAAAGGGGTGGGAGGTTGCAAGACTTCACTGAAGACTTTTAAGGAACTTTCAATGCAAAGAGTGTATGTTCCTTAATGAAGTTCAGGTTCTAAGGATCTCAAATGTAGACCCCTTGACTCCTTGGGCAACTCCAAGGAGTTGGAGTTCTTTTAACTAGAAAGGAAGAAGCCAGTGAGACAATGGAGATCTCCTAATGTCTGGAGAACAGCGGCATTTCTAATCACATTTTTTTTTTAAGAAATTTTATTGGGGAACAGTGTGTTTTTCCATGACCCATCAGCTCCAAGTTAAATAGTTGTTTCAATCTAGTTGTGGAGGGCCCAGCTCCTTGGCCCATGAGGGGATCGAATCGCCAACTCTGTTGTTAAGAGCACTGTGCTCTAACCACTTGAGCTAACCAGCCGCCCCTTGCCCAACATTTTACAGATCTGAAGAGAACTTTAAAGATAGAGCTTTTAAAATCAATAATTTTAGCATTCTGATTTCTTTGAAAACTTCAAAGTAAGTTTTCCTTCCTTTGTCAAAGGAATTTTTTTTCTTTTTTTTTTCTTTTCTTTTATTGGTGAATCGGGGAAGGGGAACAGACAAGTTGCTGTCTTTTTGTTCTTCTGTCTGGTTGTGGAGGACGTCGCTGCACAGGAATTTATGTTTGGAATATTTCAAACATCTAATGGGGACTTAGTGGTCAGATTTGCTGAGTAAGCGGCTCTCTGATTGGTCAAGCTCGGTCCCAGGTCCCGTTGCTGATCCTTCACCAGCAGACAGCCTGCACCTCACCCATATCAGGTGCTTGGGTTTAGGGAGGTCCCTAGCCATGAGTCACTGTTTGCTTTTCCTGTGGTAAACTCATTACCTTTGACAGACACACCTTTTCTGCCTCCCAAGATGTTAAAACGTATGTCTCAGCTCGAAGGGGAATCTACACAGATTTGTTTGGTCATTGTTTTTAATTATGGTAAAATATATATGACATAACACTTGCCATTCGTGACATTTAGTCCATTCACAATGTTTTTGCAACCATCACCACCATTTTTGTCACCCCAAAAGGAAACCCTGTACCCATTAGCAGCCACTCCCCATGTCTCCCTCCCCCAGTCCCTGGCAAACATTAGTCTACTTTCTGCCACTATGGATTTGCCTGTTCTGAATGTTTCATATACATGAAGTTATACCACATGTGACCTTCTGGGTCCGGATTATTTTACTGAGCACAGATATTTTCAAGGCTCATCCATGTTGGAGTGTGTTGTGACTCATTCCTCATCTGGTCAAATCATATTCCATGGTATGGAATTCCCATATTTGGCTTATCCATTCATCGGTTGATGGACATTTGGGTTGTTATGAATAATGAAGCTGTGAATATTTCTTACAAGTTTTTCTGTGAGTCTCTGTTTTCATTTCTTTTGGGTTTATACCTAGAAGTGGAATTGCTGGATCATATGGTAACTCAGTGTTCAACTTTTTTTTTTTTTTT